AGAAAAAATCTAAAGTTTAATTATATAGCTAATTTGATTGTTTAATTTATTTTAATAATATAAAATTAAAGAAAAATGATGGAGGATATATAAACTGTTATCAAATATTTATTATTAGAATCATTAAGTGTCATATATATATATATATATTAGTCATTTATGGTAATTCCGTAGGTTTTATTTATGGAAATAAAATAAAATAGTAATTATATCTTAGGGAACAATCATTAAGTGTCATATATATATTAGTCATTTATGGTAATTCCGTAGGTTTTATTTATGGAAAGAAAATAGCATATCATATCATTATATCATATAGTTTGACTAACTAATGTGTCTAGCAACCTATAAAAATCCAATTTGGACTTACTTATTTTTCAATTGAATCTAATTGACTACCTAATTGAATGACACCTATGCATTGTGACCTTTTTTAATTAATACAAAATTGAGGTTACATCTTTTCAAATGTTACTCAATTAATATATAGGGGATTCCAACATTTTGGGATATATGGAATCTTAATGATGGAGCCTTCTAATGCGGTAAAGTCGGCAGTCGTGCCTGCACCAGAAGACAACCTGCCCCTCTTCACGTGTTCATTGGAATGTGATCATTATTTTACATTACTATATCATTGATTCATTTTGACTTCATCTTTTAATATGTTTTTTTCTTCTTCCAATCTTCCTCAAAACACCACGTAAATATTCGTGGCAGTATAACTTAATGGTTATTTTTGCCTTATATACGAAAACATAAAAACATACATAACTACATAGGCTATAAGTATTTAGTAGGCTAATGATCAATGGTCAATGCATCTCAAAGATAACATTATTTCAATTATTTTCCTAATCATGGCATTATTGGTCTGAAATGTATTTGAAACAATCGAGATCAAAATAATATAACTCATGTTAAAGGAAACCAAAAAAATGCATCGAAGAAACCGAATTTCTGATCATGAAGTCAATGTTTCCTGAGCTAGCTGTATGTGTCTACGTAGCATCTGACAAACAGAAACCATGAGGATGCTTCCAGTGGCATTCTCGTTGTTATCGTCAAAACCAGTGTTATTCTTATAAATTCAAACCCATAAAAACCCCCTATCTTTCACCACTCTCTCACATATTATTCAACATTTTCGATAGTCCATCTCTCAACCAAGGTTATCCACAATGTATCAAGAAGCTATACTTCTCTTAGCTCTACTATGTGTTTCTTCCAACGTCCTTGGATCGGTTCCCATCAGCGATGGTAGTAATTCCAAAGCTCATCAACTAACACATATTATTCCTTGTTAAGTTCAAAACTCTGACTTAGAAACTTTTAATGGTTGGTGGTTTCAGGTTTATTACCAAACGGTAATTTCGAGATGGGTCCTAAACCGTCCCAACTCAAAGGATCCGTTGTAAAGGAACGAGCCGCCGTACCTCACTGGGACATGAACGGTTTCGTGGAGTACATTAAAGCTGGTCAGAAACAAGACGATATGGTTCTGGTCGTACCGGAAGGCTCCTCAGCCGTCAGACTAGGCAACGAGGCCTCAATCTCCCAGAAAATATCCGTCCGATCAGGGCGTCTATACTCGATCACGTTCAGCGCCGCTCGGACCTGCGCTCAGGATGAGCGGCTCAACATCTCCGTAACGCATGAGTCCGGTGTCATCCCTATCCAGACCATGTACGGTAGCGATGGCTGGGACTCATACTCATGGGCTTTTAAAGCTGGTGGACCTGAAATAGAGATCAGAATCCACAACCCTGGTCACGAGGAGCACCCGGCTTGTGGACCATTAATCGACGCCGTTGCTATCAAGGCTTTGTTCCCTCCCAGATTCTCCGGAAGTAAGTAAACCAGAAACAAGTCATATATATATATATATATATTTTTTTTTTGTTAAGAGTAAAATCCGAAACCTATGTTGTTGATTGATATGTTTTTTTTTCCCAGATAATCTGATAAAGAACGGGAAGTTTGAAGAAGGACCTTACGTGTTCCCCAAGGCAAAATGGGGAGTACTGATACCACCTTTCATCGAGGACGACAACAGCCCGTTGCCAGGTTGGATGATCGAGTCTCTTAAAGCCGTCAAGTACGTGGACAAGGCCCATTTCTTCGTCCCTGAGGGACACCGAGCCATAGAGCTTGTTGGAGGCAAAGAGAGTGCCGTTACCCAGATCGTGAGGACGTCACTCAACAAATTCTACGCCCTAACTTTCAACGTGGGAGACGCGAGAGACGCTTGCGAGGGACCGATGGCAGTGGAGGCGTTCGCTGGAGGGAGCAAGGTCCTGGTGGAGTATGCGTCTAAGGGTAAAGGCGGGTTTAAACGGGGAAGGCTTGTGTTTAAGGCTGTGTCAGCGAGGACTCGTGTCACTTTCCTTAGCACGTTTTACCATATGAAGAATGATCACTCTGGCTCGCTATGTGGTCCGGTTATCGATGACGTCAGGCTAGTGGCGGTTAGGACACTCCGAGGATGATGATGATGAGACCAGAATGTTACTAGTTACCTTTTGGTTTAATTAATGTCAATGCACGGGATCATCATATATAGTAGACTGGTTGATTGTAATGTAATTTTGTTTCAAGATTTACATAATAAAATGTAATTTTACTATCTAATTTAATATATTTTTACACAGCTTATTAACTAATGATCATTTGGTAGTACAGTGGAGTATCAGTTGTTAATTCTGTTTTAGTAAAATTGTTTTCGTCTAACTGAGTTTTGAGAGGTCGTCACAGATTAGTTAATTCAAAATGGATAAATTATTATAGAATCTCTCTTGTTTTTCAATAAATGTTTTTTGTACACGTCGAATTCAATTAAAAAAAGATTTATTTTTGAATTTTGGAATACAAAAATGCGGGAAAACCTGGCACGTACTAAAAACTTTGCACGGGCCAAGTCGTAGGTCAAAAGCATACTTCAATTATCATCATCATGTGGAGAAGCAAATCTGAAATCAATCTCGCAATATTCCACTTAATTATATGTTTTCTCTCGCCGAATCGGCTCCGCTCCAGGTAAGTTGCAGATCTCGATCGATCCACACCGGATGATTTGATTGTCTTTGATTCTGAATGGCATTGTTTAAGTTAGAGACGTCAATGCTGTTAGATCAGGTTTTGGTAAATAGGATTGATTTTGTTTTAACTCCGGTCCAGCGTGAGTCGAAGATGTGAGTGATCACACCTATATATATATATTGCAACTGGTCACGAGAAAGAGGAACTATAATCCGAGTTTCTTCTTTGTTTGGATCATATGATAAAAATGTTACTCAGAGAGACTAGATTAAGTTATATGCTAGCCTAAACCACATTGTTTGTTGTTCTGATCTCCATGTATCTTCCATTACCCTTTTATGGATCAATTCATCAGATAGCTCCTGATTTGAGTTTGATTGCTATTAGTTTACCAGGACGATGCTCGATATAGAATTTCTTGAGAGGAACAAATGTTAGTGTGATTGTGGGAATATTAGAGACTTATGATTCTTGTCTGACTGTTATCACACCTTATTTTATTTTCTGCTCTCCTGCCGACTACATGATAATTATTTGGTTGGTTGCCCTTGAGGTATGTCTTGCTCTAAGCATATTAACACCATATGTATGACCACTTCAAGGAGGGAGATAAGTATATGATGTTTTGATTTCTATTCTGAAATGCAGAGGTTGAGCGTGACCTTGTCTGGAGAAAGGCAAGTCACAGTACTTTAAGGCAACCAAGCTTACCTTCTCTTTAATCTACAACTAGACTTAGTTTAGTTACATAAACTGATAAAAGGGTTTGATGATTTCTTCTTGCATTATTGTTTTATCATATATATTAACTTTATTATCTTTTTGGGTTGAAACCGCTGCATATATGATAACCTAAATAAGTTATACATCAGGGACGATGCTATTGAGACATCAACAAAAAGCTATTAAACATCAAAAACTTTGAACAAACATTCAAAATTTTGAATTCTTCAGGACGGAGTCCAACTGGAAACTATGGCCATGGCTTGAATATCCACTCTTGTTGGCATGAGAGGCGAAGCAGCAAAGAAATAGTTCCGTACCACTTCATTGACGCTGAGCTGAATCACCGAATGAGGAGGAAACTGATGATGATGCATATGATCCACCGGGGGGATGTTATGATGCGCAAGAGTAAGACCCGCTGCAGTCATGATTTCAGTGTACTCATCAGCTCTCTGCATCTCTTCCCACGCCCGCTGTCTCTCGGGATCGACCAATGGTTTGGTGAAACGAGGATGATAAGCTTTCAAGTGCTTCTCAAGTTGAGTATAAGTCCCCGAGAAGGTGCAACCGTCAAAAGCGCAGGCTCTCGGTTTAGCATTGAAATATCTCCTTGCAGCCGACACCTTGATCGTCTCGTTAACCTCTCCTCTGCAGTTAGTACAGCTAATGGCTTTGGTAAAGCGGTTCCTGTTTTTTCTGCGGTATTGCTTGAAACAGTTGGAGTGACGACGGCTGGTGTCGCACATATAGGTATGGCATCCGTTGGAGAAGGAAGAGCACTTCAAGAGGACAGCATTATGTGGGGGTTCCAGGCAGATGACACACCGAATATCCTCCCACTGGCATGGGCCTTGCGTCTGGATAGCCGACTCAAGTTTGATCTCTCTCTGAGTCCTTGAAGAGCGAAGAGGGTATGGTGACACTCTGGTCCTCTTGCTTGGCACTGTTCTCTCCTTGGGCATTTTTCCTTCTGCTAAAAAATCATTTCAGCATTGATCAGTAATAACATGAAAATCAGCTTCAAAATCTTGTCTTTAAGGACTAAAATCTTAAGGCTCAAATCAATCATTTACACCACAAGATGGAACACTATTTGATATCACATTATACTAGTACAAAATAAAAAGAAATCACAAGTGCAGAGAGATCGAGGAAACATATAACTCTAAATAAGAAACCAAATTTTAAAAATCAAATACAACAACACAGTTGGATGATCAGAAAACACACAAAGAATAAAATAATTGAACTATAAACACTAACAACAAACATATTAGTTGTTACAGAATTTTCAGATGATCATCTCTCTCATTAACGACGTTTTGCGAATTCTGACAGAGAATCATAATTCTGACCGAAATCGGATCATACTATACTATTGGATGAGTTGTTCATAGTCATCTAATAAGAGATTATTGCTCTTCGGATCAGACTCCACAAAGAACACAACTTCGTCGGATCAATGAGAGAAATTGGTAAAAAGGAGAGAGAGATATATTACCTTAATCGAGGGATAAATTATTGATTTTTTTTTCTTTTCTCTGAGAGAGTTTCGTCTGAAGTGGTAACGATGGTGAGTGCATGTTTGTGTGAAAGTTCTGTCTCCTTTTTATAAGCTGCCCCGTCTGTCCCACTTTACCATCATACCCCTCTCTTTCTCTCCACCCTTTCCTCTCTTTCCTTACACAAAAGTATCTTTTCTTTGTTGACATTTATGGAGTTTCCCTTCAATGGGATGAACAAAAGTAATGAAATCCAATTTTCTTGTTTGTAAACAAGTTGAAAAAAGTATTATCTTTTCAAAAAATGTATCTTCTTATGAAATAAAATAACAACTTATGAAGGAAAAGGAACTATACAAATCTCACTCTTTCCTATTATTTTCAGCAATTAAACAAAAAAATCCAACTACAATTATTTTACTTTTTTTTTTTGTAAATTACAATTTTTTTTATTTTAAATATGAAGCTTTTAAGTTATTTACATATTTGATATGTTTAATATGGCAAACATACGGCGCCGACAATAGTTAAAACTACTAAATAATATTAATTTATTACTCACACATGCATACTTTACATTTTTTAACTTAAATCATATTGTGTTGACACTTGACACTAGTTAAAAATTTTAAAAAGAAATCATTATTTCTTACATTCGTATTTTACTAAATTTTGTTTATCCACCTAAATACATTTATGGTAATTAATTAAAAGGTTATTATCCAAATTCAAACAAAAATTGAGTTTTCAAAGATATGGCTGAATGAACAGATCAATACATATACCAAAATGTACTACTAACCTTTGACCGTATAGCTATTGGTACCTTGCCAAGATTGATATTGAATGGATCATTTTTTTGTATCTAATGTCATTTTTTCTATAAAATCAGTGGACCACCAACAATTGATTGTGGTGGAAAACATATTCGACTTGGGCCTGTAAAGTAGAAACGAAAGATATAATCTGGGAACTTAACGGCCCATTTTAAGGCCTGATATGATATGTTATTGGTTAGCATAAAGAGGGATAAGAGCAGCATTAACGCTCGTCTTTAAGCTGTCTCTTAGTTAATTATGCATTAAAGGAAAAGAAAAAACCAAATTAAAAGGAAGAGGCGTATGTTTAATTGTGTTTTGGGCATACGGTATTTTAGGACACGTGTTGTGTAAAGAGAAGAGAGAGGAGCGGTGGTTTTTTTTTTGTGTTCTGTTCTTTCTCTCTCTCTCGAAATCTCTTCATTTTCCTTTGTGTCCGAGAAGGCGATAGAAAATCGCCTCTGTGATTCCTCGGTGTAACGCCGGTACTCCGTCTCTCCGTCGACCGGAGACGAGACGGAACCACATCTCTCAGTGGCTCAGTGTATGTTGATTCTCTCCCTCTCGAATCTCTCTCTCTTTTGATGCATGTTGATAACGAATCTCTCTCTCTCTTGATGCATGTTGATTCTCTCCTTCTCGGTGTATGTTGATTCTCTCCCTCTCGAATCTCTCTCTCTCTCTTGATGCATGTTGATTCTCTCCTCGACGGCGAAGGACCGGTATATCTCCAATGTTTTGTTCTTAAACCAAAAGAAATCTTAGATTAGTATATTGTTCTAATCGGAACATTTATTTGTCTGTAGGTGTGATGCTCTTCTACGGCTACAGAGCTCTCTCACGACGGCGACAGAGCTATCTCTCGGTGTCTGTCCGAGAATCGAACAGGTAAAGCTTCTGTTTCTTGTTCTTCAATTCTTTGTGATATGTTTGTTGATAATTTATCAATTTTTATAATGTTTAGTCTGTTGAATCTGCTTGGTTTAGGTTTTAAAAGATAAAACTACAATCTTGTGTTGTTTGTTATGATTTGGGTTCTCTTTGATGATTGTGCTCGGTTTAGGTTTATTTTGCTTCCTTCTGATCTTTAATTTTTTTTGGTTTATGTCCTTTTGCCATGTCCTGTGGGTTGATAGCTGAGGAGGGATCAAGCTTCCGACTTCAATATCAAATGAGGTTAGTGTTACTCTTTCTCTTCCGAATTAGCTTCTGTGGTTGAGTGTCATTAATGGTAGTTACTTTAAGATTATGGTTGACAACGGTAATAAATATAACTGATGGGTAGATAGAAAAGTGAACCTATGCTCTGAATCCTTGCTTGTCTATCGTTTGTGTGATTAATAAGTTAGATATTGGCTCAATGCCTAACTGTGAGTAATTAGTTAGCTATATGTCAAGTCGTTGTGGTTGTGTGATGAATGCGTTTAGCCTTTGCTTTTCTCTCTTCTCTTCCAAACAATCTCATAAATTGAGATTAATGAATTAGCTATAGGTCAAGTCATTGTGGTTGTGTGTGTGATGAATGCGCCTTCTCTTGGAATCTCTTCTAGCTTTCTCTCTTCTATTTAACTAGCCTTCATTCCTTTGTTTAAACTCGCCTTCCTTTCCTCAGTTTAAACTTTCCTTCTTAAACATTCCGATATGGATCCCAATCCTTTTATGCCTTTTAATTTTGTTGATCTTCTTCAAAGTCAACAAGAGTCTTCTCCTATTTCTTTCTCTCACACAGAAGCAGCTGAAGGCTCAAACATTGCTGCCGAGCGTAAAGAAAGGCGAGCATGGACGCCAACTGAAGATATAGTCCTCATCAGTGCTTGGCTTAATACGAGCAAGGATCCCATTATATCGACTGAACAAAAAGGAATTGCTTTCTGGAAAAGGATTTCAACATACTACTGTGCTAGTCCTAAGATTGATCAGAGAAGAGAGGCGGGGAACTGTAAGCAGCGTTGGCACAAGATGAATGACTTGGTATGCAAGTTTGTCGGAGCATATGAAGCGGCAGTCCGAGAGAGAGGCAGTGGGGAAAACGACATTAATGTTCTCGAAAATGCCCACACAATTTTCGAGACCAACTACAAAAAGAAGTTTAAAATGGAGCATGCTTGGAAGGAGCTTCGACATGACCAAAAATGGCGTGATATTTCTTTGAGTCAACCTCAAGGAAGTTCCAAAAGAAAGAGGCCTGAGGACGGTCCGAGCTGTGAGGAAGGTGATGAAGGGACCAGCCGTCCCATTGGAGTTAAGGCTGCAAAAGCCCGTGGGAAGAAACCGGAGGTAGATGTGCAAGAGTTGGAGCAGTTTCACACAATGTGGTCAATCAAGAAAGAGGACTTGGACAGGAAGGACAAGCAGCTGAAGATGAAGCTTCTAGAGAGGCTCCTTGGAAAAAAGAATCCCCTACCTGATTTCGAAGAAACTATGAAGAATAGTTTAATTAAGGAGTTGTTCCCGGATGTGATTTAAATTCTAGGATTTTATTAAGTCTTTGCTTCATGTTGAAGTATGTTTTAATGTTGGTTTCTCTTGTTTCATGTTTCTTTAAGTTTAGTTCCCTGTCTTTGTTTCATGTTTCAGTTCTATTGTAATGGTGATATTTCTCTTGTTTAATATATATATAATTAAGTTTCATGTTCCCATGTCTTGCTTGAAAGTTGATTTCTCTTGTATATATCATGTTTGATGTTGGTTTCTCTGTCTTCTCTTTTCTTAATACAGGTTACAAGAAAGGAGTCACGGACACAAAGTAAAAGGAGTCAAGGACCATCACTTGTATTGTCTTGTTTGCTGTCTTGTATCAAACAGAGAAAAGTGTAGTCACGGACCATACTTGTTGTCTTGTATCTTGTTGAGTGGTGTCTTGTAAAGTTGTCAAGGACCATCACTTGTGTTGTCTTGTATAGTCACGGACCATACTTGTGTTGTCTTGTATAATGCTTTTCTTTATATATATCTTTGTCTTGTATAATGTTTTCAACTTCTATATATCTTTGCTTCACTCTCTTTACTCTCATACCAAAAACTCTTCACTCTTCACTCTCTTTACTCTTCACTCTCTTACCAAAAACTCTACACTCTCACCAATATGGCTTCCTCTTCTTCTCAAAACAATCAAGAAGAATCATATGATGACACCTTTGATGAAGAATCATATGATGATACTCTTGATGATGCGTTTGATGAGTTTTTTGATCAACGTTTTGATCAAGTTTTCGATAAAGTTCTTGAAAATGTTACCATTCGTGCTAATCAAGTTCAACAAAAGAAGAAAAACAAACGAGCTTATATCGAAAGAAATCGTGAAGAAGGCAATGTACGTTTATGGAATGATTATTTCAGTGATACTCCGACGTATCCTGAAAGGTTTTTCCGACGACGTTTTAGAATGAACAAGACATTGTTCACACACATTGTTGATCGACTCTCCAGTCAAGTTGAATTCTTTCGAGAAAAAAGAGATGCTCTTGGAAGAGTTAGCTTCTCTCCACTTCAGAAGTGTACAGCAGCAATTCGTTTATTGGCATATGGTAGTGCGGCTGATGCGGTAGACGAATATCTCCGCCTTGCTGAAACTACAACTCGGTCTTGTTTGGAGAATTTTGTGGAAGGAATCATTAATTTGTTCGGCGATGAGTACTTAAGAAAACCAACACCATCAGATCTTCAACGTTTACTTGATGTTGGAGAATATCGTGGCTTTCCCGGGATGATAGGAAGCATTGATTGTATGCATTGGGAGTGGAAGAATTGTCCCACCGCTTGGAAAGGACAATATTCTCGTGGCTCGGGGAAACCAACCATCGTTCTGGAGGCGGTTGCTTCATATGATCTTTGGATATGGCATGCCTTTTTTGGAGCCCCAGGTACCTTAAATGATATCAATATTCTTGATCGCTCCCCTGTTTTTGATGACATAATAAAAGGTCAAGCTCCGCAAGTCACTTACTCTGTCAACGGAAGAGAGTATAATTTGGCTTACTATCTCACCGATGGGATTTACCCGAAATGGGCAACTTTTATCCAATCTATTCCACTACCACAAGAGCCGAAAGCGGTTTTATTTGCTCAACGGCAAGAAGCTGCCCGAAAAGATGTCGAGCGGGCTTTTGGAGTCTTGCAAGCTCGTTTTGCTATTGTTAAAAACCCCGCACTCTTTTGGGATAAAGTCAAAGTTGGAAAGATTATGAGAGCGTGTATCATACTCCATAATATGATAGTTGAAGACGAACGAGAAGGATACACTCAATATGATGTCTCGGAGTTTCAACAAGGAGAAGACAACAGAAGTTCACATGTTGACCTCGCGTACTCCACGATGCCTTCACATATCGGTAATAGGATGGGTGTTCGAACAAAGATTCGTGATAGACAGAAGCATGAACAACTGAAAGCTGATTTGGTTGAACATGTATGGCGTAAATTTGGATGTGATGAAGACAATATCTGATTTCGTGATAGACAGACACTCAGTATGCTTCAGTCAAATTATTATCGGTTTTTACTAATCTTTGTTTTTATGTTTTTATTTTAAAATAAATGTTTTAGATGTAACCTTTTACTATGTTTTAATAAAATGTTTTAAGTTTAATAATAAAAATTAATAAATCAAAATTTGAAATTTACTTTAAAAAAAAATAATTTAAAAACCCTTTTTAAGAGACCCGCATTGGAGCATGTAAATTTGCGGATCTCTTAACCGGGTCTCTTATGTCACTTTTACAATTAAATTACATTAAAAAAAAATAAGAGACCTAAATGGGGTATGTGGGTTGAGGGTGCTCTAATGTGTTCTTTGTTAGGGCTAGGCTCAGAAAAAATGGAAATCCGAAAGACGGACCTCGAATTGAAAAGCTGAAGACCATGTGATTAATCTGGCCCACCCATCACAGTTTTCTGTAAATGAGGATCCCAAGGGAAACGCACACTGACACTCATCATCTTATCACAATTAATCAGTCATTCCTAAACCGTAACGATTCCCAAACTTGCACCATCACTATCTCAGATCATGATTTATCTGTGAGAATTGACAAATGAAGAAAGAGCCCCCCGCCAGTTGATAAAAGCATGAGAGTGATGATGAATGTGAAGCACTCAGATCTCTCATCTCTCACCGCTTGCCGTATAACGTCTCCATTCGCCAGCTAAAATCTAAAAAAACGTGTCGAGCATTGTCTCGATCTGAGATTAGCACTGTAGCTGACAGTTACATTTAGTATTTGTCTCTATCTCTTGCTTCACCCAGCACCGTCAGTTTTTTTTCTGTAAGAAACTATGTACTGATGGGGACAAAAGGGTGAAATGTAGGTTCCACATTTGCCCATGTGGTTATAGTCAACGTGTCGTTGTATCAGAGGCCAAGGGTTTTCTGCGATCTTTATCTATGAATCTATGGTCTCGTAGAATAATCTTTCATTGTTTTTCTCTTGGCTGGTGTCGACTTGAGACCAATAACATACACTTATCTTTACACTAGTCTAAAAAATTAATTATGCGGCTTACCATTATATAAAGACCCTACTAGGTACGACTTATTATTTATCAAGAGACTCATGAACGGTGTTAGTTTAATAGAGTCTTTCAAAATAAAACATATTTGTAATTAACCGAGTGATCATCATGTTACTGAGAAGCACATCTACTCCGATACTGAAATCGTGGCTTTGCTCGAGAGAATCATCTCCGGAGCCCGAGTCACAGCTCCAACGCCGAAACAGATCGTTGTCTATTCTCTCTTCAAAGTCCATAGACGGACACACAGGGGAGCTGTTGCACCAAACTCTCTCTGAGCACAAGGACAGTACTGTTCTTAAATCAAGTAACAACGAACACGAGGAGGGCAATAACGTAAGATCAAGCAGGCAACGCAGGTCATCTTTAGATGAAAGTTCTACCCATGGAACAGCTTACCGGAGAAAGATCTTAGATCCTTCGTCGACCTTTTTAAGGGAGAGGCTATTCTCGAGCTTTGGACTAGGAGAGAAGGTTAGTGATGATGATCGTCTTGAGACTCTTGTGAGTGGTGGTGGCGACGGTATGGGAAGCAGCGGTGGCAAGATATGTACGGGAAGCGGTGCCGGTGGAAGCGGCGTTGACGGCGGTGGAAGTGAGGACGCCACCGATGTGTATTACCGGGAGATGATCAACTTGAATCCTGGAAACTCTCTTTTGACCGGGAACTACGCCAAGTTTCTGAAAGAGGTAAGAAGTTGAGTATAGATTTGGTCAAGCAATTTTTTCAAAAAAAAAAGGTAGTTCTTAGCCGTTTTTGTAATGTTTCTTTTATACATGATTTTAGTAGAAATTCATCCACCTGTAAAGTATGTATTGCATGGATATTTGTGAACAGTGTAACAAAATTTAAAAACAAAAATCATGTTTAGTTTCAGGGAATACAGCCATCTTTTTCTTTTTTTGTAAACTTGGAATACAGCCATCTTTCATAGATATATGTAATATATACGTGTATATGATGAACAGGTGAGAGGAGACATGAAGAAAGCAGAAGAGTACTGTGAGAGAGCGATTTTGGGGAACACCAACGATGGTAACGTTCTCTCGCTGTACGCCGATCTCATTTTGCAAAACCACGGTGATCGTAAAAGAGCACACTCCTATTTCCAACAAGCTGCCCAAATGTCCCCCGAAGATTGGTAATTTTGCAAGATCTACTTTATACAACCATATTACAGTTTAAGGATAATTATTTAACTTATTAAGACATTATGATATAACAATATAATGGTTCAGCTACGTGCAAGCTTCCTACGCAAGGTTTCTGTGGGATGTGGACGAGGACGAAGATGAAGTAGAAGTAGATGGAGAAGAAGAGCAAACGAGTGATGAAATTGGAAGCATGATCTTCCGTGACATTTCCCAACGCTCTGCTATTTCCACACAGTCATAAACACAGTTATATAGACCTTCGTCTATAGTTGTATCCAAGCAAATCAATAAAAACTATAGTATGTAATATGCATGTTTAATACACATATGCACGTGTAAAATTACTACATGTTAAGATATGTTCTGTACACTTCAAATATATAGCTATATATGTTTTCTCTATGCATCAATATATATGTTATATTTGTCTCTGACAACTTACACAATTACGACTATTCAAATTGAGACAGCAAGTCCATCACCAAAGTTTAGCCAACCACAGCTATATTGAACCCTGCTAGAACATTTACGCCTTAAAAGTCAGATTTCTTGTTGGTAAGTGATTAAGATGTGAAAGAAAGACAATGACAAGAAAAAATACTCAATATTTTCTTGCTTAACATTTACAAAACATTAAAAACTAAGTAATGGATAAAAAAAGTTTAGATTGGTTAAATAAGAGCCAATGTTGCTTTCTCCTACACTCTTTTGTCGTTAATCCTTTGTTTGCAGCTTTGGACTGTTTGCTCCTTTGTATACTGGACTTGATGTGTTTGGCGGGAGAGTAAATATGAATATGGACTTCGTCTGAGTATTGGCCCACTGGTGTATGAATACACCAACATAAGAAACCTCCAACGCTACTGGACCATCAAATAGGCGTCGGTCCAATGACGTAGAGACCATTCCACGAAATAAGACGATGCTTATAAACCGGAGGTGTGGATAGTTCGATTCCATCGAACTAATGTAGTGTGGGGATTAAGAGCACAATATAATTATCCCAGATCCTTAATGGAGTTTTTAAGAAAAACTATGAGTGAATCCCACAAAATGTGTAACAATCAGTAATAGTAGTAGTGAAATAAAAATCGTTTTTTCTGTGTTTTTGCAGTGTGTGCGTAGTCCACAAACACATAGCTGAGTGGACCACTATAATATACTTTTTAGTTTTTTTTTATCAGCTAAAGAAAATAAAAAGATAAAATTTAAGAAACTCATTATAATTTAAGCATTTTCTGTGCGGATTAAGCGGTCAAATTTAAGAGATGTGAAAAAAAAAATGAAATCAAACTCACATAAATTATGAAAATATTTCAATTGGAGAGTCGACATGGTTTCTCAAACTAAATACACATTCATAAAATTAGTTATTACTAAATAATTTAAATAAATTATTTTAGTGTAAATATTAAAATGATTGGAAATATTCAAAGGAATTTAAGTTCAGTAGCTAAAAAAATACCAAAACTAACAATCTAACCAAAATTCATTTTTCTTCTATTTTTTTTCTTTTCTCTCTTTACTCTCTCTCTCTCTTAAAATATAAGTTCTTTTATTTTTTAGTTATTTGGCAAATAAATCCAATATTCAAAACAATAATTTATAATATTTTTATTTTATTATCTTGTGAGTATCTTCATGATATTCTCCATTAACATATTTTAAATATATTTCAATTTTGGTTCACTGTAGCATTAACTTTTTGTCAGAAAGCGAGAGTTCCATTCTGCTTTATTTTCTGTCAAAAACTTACAATATAATTAAGTGAAGAAATAATTTATCCCTGATTCCCACAGATTTGGATTTTAGTTGAACCGTCCTATGGCCAATGTCTATTGAGAGAAAAAAAAAAAGAGATGTGACACATCCTTTATGCTAATAGCTTCGTATATTGACTAATGTAAATTCTGAACTCGTTGGAGATAACCTATAACTTCTCGCCTACCTCACCAACAAAAAGGGATTAAATTGGCAAAAGAAAACATATTTTATTTATCCACAACTAACTAACTCTTTTATTAAGACATTAAAACCTTTTGTTATCCGAATTAAATAGCTGTAACATAGAGAGTAATTCAAATAAAATCAAACCACAGCAAGTGACAGACAGGATATATTGGTCCAAATCGTTCCTTTCAAGCCGACAGAAACTCACAACTAGATATCTATTATTAATTCCACTCGTTTTTTGTTTCCCACCCATAAAAAAAAAAAGGAAAGAAGAAATCAATGATCATCTGCGGAAGGGTGCACCTGTTCCTCACCAACCTCAACGAAATCGTCACCGTAGATCTGATCAAGCACAAGGACCAATCCCATGGCAAAGGCTCCATCAAAACCGGCCTTCACGTTCAACGAGAAAACGTCTTTCCCAAGCATCACGTTCGTTGACGCATCCACTTTACGACGTATCTCCGCCACCTTCCGCCTCGTCTCGGCCTCCACCACCGTGCAGCTTCTCTGCCCGAAATTACCTTCGATCAGGTACTCGCTGCACTCGTACTCAGCGTAAACCTCCACCGTCACGCTGTTCCTCCCGATTATCGACGATCTCCTCACCCCGAAGATCGGTCTTTGACCTTCTGTTCTCTCCCCGAGATACCCTTCCCATCTACGTCTCAAACTCGGCCTCTGTTTCACCGTTTAGAAAGAAGAAAAAAAGAAGAGAGTTAGAACTCCGAAGTTACAACTTATTATTATAGTATTTATAAAAGGAGGAGGAGGTAGGTATACCTTTCGCCGGAGGGTTAGGAGACAGCGACCGTGAGCGTCCATGAGGACAACCTCGTCGGTGTCGCGGTTGTTGGGACCACCGTAAGAGTCCACGCGAAAGACCAAAGAGCCCTTGCAGTCGTAAACCGTGAAACCATCTCCCGCGAAAAAGAGAGAAGTTTTTCGAACAGTCAGGTTCTTGTCTTGCCCGTGTATAAATTTATCGTCCACAAGCAAACCACCCTTCATTTTTTCCGATTGCTGATTGGTTCCTAATTAGAGAGACTCGAACTCCTATTCTGAGTTTGTTGCTGTGATGATGATAAAAGCTTTTGATACTCTTTATAAAAGAAAGGGAAAGACAAGTGAAGGTTTGAGGGAAAAGGAAGACAACGAGTGGAAGATTTATAAGGACAAGTCGTCACGGAGATAGAATCTTATTGAGGAGTTTTACAGTTTCAGCAAATCTTAAAGTGCCACGTGTCGATTACTTGTCGCTTGAACATGATCAGGAAGGGAATAGAATCGTCATTCGCTGCTTCACAATTCACCCTTTTCTTCACTTTACAGTTAATTCACATATTAACGTACCATCGCGTATGTTCATGCAAGATAATGAGTCCAAGAAACGTAATAGATGAGGATGAACAATATGTTTCTTGTGTTTTTTTTTCAATTTGCTTAAACTTACTTTTAGTTTCATTTTCTAGTTATTTGGTGACTCAATTTTGTAGATTATATTACTTTTAAAAGTATGTATATATCAAAGTACGTAGGCGTAGGCCCATCTTGTATACTTGACGAATATCTCAAGTCAAAATCTGTATAGGAGATATCCATATTTCAACAAAGATATGTAACTTCTGATTAAAATGAAAATCTACGTTTAATGGTAATTTTCAGGTATTAAACTAATATATCTCGAACATTTAATTGTTTTTGTTTAGTTAGTTATTATTACATGTATAGGCGTGTGCGTATTTTCAAGATTCTTGTTGGACGGTCTTCGGCAACATTACTTCTTCTTTTACGATCACTGTTTCTCCTTCTCTCCTTTTTTCCGATTCTGACATTATTCCGAACATATTGTAAGGCGATTAATCGACTAGTACAGATCAAAAGGATACTTTTGTTTCTATATTTAGTATTAAAATACCAATAAAGTCATTAGGGTATCGTGTGTGGGCATCAAAGCACACGTTATTGATTCTCTTTTGTTAGTAGTTAACTCCACAATTCATATAAATCTCGTTTTCTTATAACGCTTACATTAGAATAACAATGTAACTAAATGTTGGTTGATAAAAAAGAATGGAGCCGTGGAATGCATCTTAGCTTTCATAATTTAAAGCTTACAGCCTCACAAAATCTTCTCAGATCTAGTCGTTGATATTTTTTATATTCTCTATTATTTTATTAATTTTTTGGCATCATTCTCTATTATTTTATTTATGCATATAATGATATGAACCTTACATCAAGGTCCATGGCCAGCTAGTTTGTCAATAGTATAGTACTGTACTAAGTTACTAATATATCGGTACTGAAACGGAAACGAATTAAAACCGTGTAACATGTGCGTTTTCTCATGCACGACCGAATATGATAAAAAAAAAAATTGAGAAAGTTTATGATACACATGATTTCTGTGTATACATATATGCAGGATACCCATCAAGTGGCCCGCATTGGGAAAAAAGATTCCCACGATACACATCATTAAAGATAACATAATCCTTGCGGTCTCATAAAATACTTCAAACTAGCATAATGTCTTTCAAATCAATTATTTTTGTATAACGATTTTTTCGAAACTCTTAAGCAAAAATCATGTATTACAAAGAAGTTGGAAGTATCTGACCATTTGACCAAAAAGAGCTTAAGAGCTATCAGATCAGCATTTATATATTACTGGTTAATTGGTCCGATGTATATATCTTTTAATTTTTTTCGATAATCTACTTTTTAGGTAAAAATAATGTGTATGCACCAAATGTCAATAGCTGATACATGTTTTCTGATATAAATTAATGGTTAAAATTAAAAAATCCAAAATAATTAATTGTTATATACTGCATAAGATAGAATGACGAAATATATCCTTATCTGGTACACATAATAATTGACTAATTGAGAGATCACTTGCGGAAAATGTAGTTAAATATATTTTGAGAAAATGAAGTCATTGTAACTTAATTATGGATGGCTGCATGGGTTATGTTTTGTGAATGTTAACAAACGAGAATGGGATATGTTTTGTGAATGTTAACAAACGAGAACGGGATATTTTGTTGATATTTGTTTTCGTTGGTTAAAAAATACTATATTTATTTGGTTGAAATATCTTATTAGGTAGAAACTACACATGAATTTCGGATTCAGGATTGTTTGAATAAATATCTAGTTTTAGCTAATTTGGATGTATAAGTCCAGCCCTCGATCTGACCCGATTGACTACAATAAGATTAAAGGATATACCAACACACACAATCAACGCGTTTCCAAGGTCGGTCGCTAACCTCCATCAATACGATAAAAGATAGTCAAGGCATATGCGCTCCACTTTCTCCGATTAGATCCGTGTACAATATATCAGCACCACCATCAGTACTTCATGCATATGATATAATATTTGTGAGACTCACAGACGATGCTGGATAAATGACTACTGAGTTTAACAGTTCATATAACAACATGATTTTCACTACAGCATTTTGTATGGGACCAAAAGTAAATTATTGTTTAGTTGACATATACTACGGTGTTTTGTTTGCTGTGTGTCTTCTAACATCTTTGAAATTAGTTTCCTTCTCAAGATAATTATTCCAACTATTTTAGTTTTAATCCCCTGTATATCTATTATTTCAAACCAAAACAAATCCAAACATAAGTTAATTGTCCTACTCTGGAAAAAGCTTAAAAGTATTCTTAATAACAAAGCAGGGAAAAAGAAGAACAACAATTGCAAACAGCAAAAGGTATTATTAGCAGTATCACATAATTAGGGCAGTACTGGCCTAATCTCAATGCCATGGACAATAAGACCTTTCTTCTCAAAAGGCCTCTTTGTCTCCTTGAGGCTCATCTCTATTTCACCCATATCTCCTCTCCTTTTGAAGAACTGTCCCAACTCCACTTCATACCAGCCGTCGCTTCTCAGCTCGGCGCGTTGACCTTGTTCACTTCCAGGATTCTGCATGAGACTGACCATGGAAGGCTGGACAAGATCATGCTCGGTGCCAGCCAAAAAAAGGGATGCCTCTACGGGCTGGCGAAAACCGTAGGGATCAAGGTTCCACTTAAAGACAAGGTAAGCGGCGTAGAGGGTGTCGTCAGAGAGAAGGGTTATGTTGATCTTTCCAGTGATTTCAAGCCACCATACCATTTTAAGCGCAGCCAGTTCTTTGAACCTGTTAGTGAGAGGCCAAAAGACATTTGATGGAAAATGTTAAAAATGAATTAGTGAAGAAAAGGGGAGATTCAGCCTTGAGGGGAGGGGAGCGTGTAGACCTGGAATCAGGAAGAGAGATCCACTGCCAGTATCTTTGATCATGTCCCCAAGTAATATTCAAGTCCCTAGGAGCCATCATGTAGCACTTGTTACCAGTACTTCTCTCCAGCGAAAAGCTCTGTTTTTGGATCACACAATGCGGGTCAGGTCAAAACATGATAGATCTAGAAAGATTGATTTATACGTTAGGGTGTCTGACTACTAGGAACTGGTAGTAAGTAGATCCACATTTACAAGACAAGCAGTCGCAACCTCTTGCCTAAATAATTCTTGATACAATACCACGTTGACTAGCTATTAACATAAATTAATATAGTTTATACACTAGAAAGGTTAATTAGCCGAGTTGATTTGAGAGCAAACTAGTAACACAGATCAGATCGAACTAATAAGATTGTTTAAAAGAAGAAATTAGAGAGGAAGGTTCACCAGTAGGGAGTCGTGGAGAAGAAGAGGGCAATGGACTAGGGAGAAGAAGAGGTGTTTCTTGGTGGGAAGACCCTCAGGTGCCCTAAAACCCTCGGGGAACTCACAAGGTAAGAAGTGATTCCAGACATGGTCGGAGTCAGCGGCGGATTTGAAGCACCTGGAGACGGCCGATGATCGGCAAACGTCTCGAGGCGTAGTCGAGGAAAGGATCTTAGCGATGCAGTCCTCTGGCAGATTATTCATTTCTTTGCTTTCAACCAAAGGAAAGAAGATCAATCTATCTTTTATATATATATACTCGAAGGGACGTGGAAAGTTTATATATATTATTCTATTCTAGAAGTAGAGGAGGAGGCTTGGTGATGAAATACACCTCTTCTTTTCTTACTCGCTTCATCACCATCCAAGACAACTTGTGTAAGTAACCGCGTGCAGATCCACGTTTTTCTTGTTCTATAACAAATTATCCTTGACATGTTATTACTGTGGGCCGCACAATGGGCCCAACTATCTTCTTTTATCGTCACCCATAATGCCAGTTTCTTTTCTTGTAGCTGTATTTTTTTTCCGGAGTATTTGATATTTGGGAAATATATCCTCCTCCTCCTCCTCCTTCGTGTCTCGGATCCACCACACCAATTCGTCGGAGAATCTACTTATTATTATTATTCAAAACCCTAACGAAATGAGTTTTGTCAGGGATCATTCATCTACCATGTCTGCCGTATATTGCGGAAGTAAAAGATGTTACTTGTAAGAGGTTTCGATGTTATTCGCATTCGGACTCTCCAATCTGGTCCTCATCATCGCTCAATCAGCTTCGCACTGCATTTCCTCACCTTGAACTGACGGTATATGTCTTGTTCTAAATTTTTGTTTGTTTGTCAAGCTACTTAGATCTAGGTTTACCTTGTGCGCTTCCAATCCGATTGAATAGTCTTTGTTAGACGCTAACTACGTATCTCTCTCTTCTTTCACTCACAGAGTTTTGCGGTAGGTAACTCATTTCCTTGGAAATAATGCTATTGGGAAATGTTTTTTGTTTTTGTTTTCCAGGTTCTAGTCAAGGCAATAGTAGATCATGGGAGTGATTTCAATGCTGCTATGAAAAGCTTGTGCCCTTTGGTTTCTGCTGAGGAAAGTCGCTCTCATGATGATGTCCTTGCTACGGCTCTAGATAATCTCCCGACAAGCAAGCGGTGATGATTGTTAGTCAGGGAAGTCACACTTTCATATGGTACTTACTGATGATGCAAAAGTCCGTGCATCAACAGTTCTGGAGGCTTTAGAGAAGGTGTTAAGTGTACGGCTCTTGATGAAGCACGCCAAAAACTCCAAGCGGTAAAACATTTATAGCTTCATTTTTTTCGCACCTGTGTTCCAATTCAAACATAAACTAACTTTAGGACCTAGTGCCATGGATGGTAGTGATCGTGTAAAATCTCTGAGTTATAGGCATGAAATACAGTTAGTGTACTGCAAGAGATATAGATTGGTTATTTTTTGGTGTACCTTGATTGACTACAAGTCAGTGGCTCTGAACACAGTTCTGTATGTAATACCTAGGAAATAAAAGTTATCTAAGCATACCCTCTTTTGAACTGCATTGCAGGAGACTGTCGCAGTGCAGCAACAAGTAGAATCACTAATCAAGGACAACGCATTGCTGAAACGTGCTGTTGCAATCCAGCATGAGCGGCACAATGCATTGGAAGATGCGAAGCAACAACTAGAGCTTTTGAAGCAACTGATTCCTCAGTACCAGGAAAAGTTGAGAAATCTTAAGGTACCCATAGAGATACCTTTTTTTTTTTGTCTTGAGTTTGATGGGTTTTGTTAAATAGTAGTATACATATATGCTGAACCTGCACATTAGGTCAGATAATAATTGGGAAATGATGAAGTGTGTTTGATTGCTGAATGTTATGAATCTGACATAGAAAGCAGATGTATCCTAATCTTTGTGCTAAGAAGTGACAACAAATGCAGGTGAACAAACTACGCCTTAAATTTGCGTATTCAACAAGTGGAACACGGAAATTCTATGCCGGAAAGATTCAATCCGGATGTCGTTTAAAGCTGGAATTTGGGAAGAGAAAAGACAACCAATCTCATCAATAAACTCAAGGAGAGAGGAGATGTGAAAAGATAAATGATTTAGCATTGTATTTGGCGGTTTAGGCATGTTAGCTTTTCCAGAAATTTAGAAGTCTTTGGTTGTTGCTGTGCTACTGTCTGTCAAGAATGGTCTATGTTTCGGTATAGGGGCTTTGTATAATTAAAGATTGTGTCTTAAAAATTAGGGATACTAAGAGTTGTGGTAGCATTTGTTTAAACAAATGAAATTAAATGTTGTTTCCTTGTAAATTCCGAGTATGCCAAGTAGTAAACAAATGAAATGTGAAAAAGAAAACATAAAAAATGTGAAAAAAAAAAGAAGAAGCAAAATCCACGTGAGCCAAGTTCCCACCACAAATCAAAACCCTCAGTTGGCAAAGATGGGAGAGAAGTGAAATTCCATCAATATGAGTATGACCGTCGTCGTTGCAAAGGAGGGATTTGTTGGCTTCGCTTGAGAATCTCGTCTCCACTTCCCAAATGGCTGCTGCTCTGGCGTCTCCCTCCCTCATCCCCTCTTCTCTCTGCTTCTCCGCCGATGGCCGCCCGTCTCTCTCTTCTTCTTCTTCTTCTTCTTCTAGTTTCTCAGTCTGCTGCAGTAGAAATCAGAAGAGCTGCTTCTTAACGTTTTCATCTGCTTGGCCTAATCGCAATCGAGGAGGACGGGGATTGTCTGGGCGTCGTTCAGTAGTGGTGTTTGCTGCTTCAGGAGGCGGAGGCGGAGGCGGAGACTACTACGCTACTCTCGGTGTGCCTAAATCTGCCAACATCAAGGAGATTAAATCTGCCTATCGCCGCCTCGCCCGTCAGGTACACCTTCCTTGACCAGTGACCAGTGACCAGTGACCAGTGAGTGAATCCTTTGATTCCACACCCGACGACGAATCCATATATATATATATATTTATACCTATTTGTTGAGCTATGGAGCTGATTATTATGTAATCCATTCCATTCCCTATTGTATTGTGCAGTATCATCCCGATGTCAACAAGGAACCTGGAGCTACCGACAAGTTCAAGGAAATCAGTGCTGCCTATGAGGTATCCTATCCTATCCTTACCAACAACAATACCTAACCAAGACCCCCCCCCCCTTGCATCTTTTAATCTTTTGCTGCCTGCCCCTCCATTATTAGACTTGGAATATATGTAACGTACTTACTTAACTACTATACTGCCAGGTGCTATCAGATGAGCAAAAGCGAGCTCTATATGATCAATATGGTGAAGCCGGACTCAAGACTACTCTTGGTGGATCTTCTTCTACTTACACGGTTACTTTTTCTCTATACCCCCTATTTCCATTTCCCTCTATTCATTCTCTATACCCACTAGTGCGTTTCTTCTCTTCACTAATTTTTGAAAAACCGCCCATCTTCTTGATAGTATTTTGACATATCTACTTTCTCTTATTTTTCCGCCCAGACAAATCCTTTTGACCTTTTCGAGACGTTCTTTGGTGCGAGTATGGGTGGATTTCCCGGGATGGACCAAGCTGACTTTGGAAGAACTCGCCGTAGCAGGGTTACCAAAGGTGAAGATTTACGGTGAGTTTGTCTCAATGTTTCTTCTTTCTTCTCTGCCCTAACAACATTTACTCTTTCTAATTACACACTATTCATTTTGCTACTACTATGGGCTTGAATCCTTATGCTGTGGAGGGTTGTGTCTGCATGTCCATTCCCTCCCTCCCTTTCTTTCTTTCTTTTTTCTTTTCAGTTTTTCCTTGTTCTTCCTGACATGCATTAGCTTTAAAAACTCCGAAACTGATCAAAATACTCCTTTTTTTTTTTTTTTTTTTTGCTTCCTTTGCGTTTTAGGTATGACATCACCTTACAACTCTCGGAGGCTATTTTTGGATCTGAGAAAGAATTTGATCTAACGCATCTGGAGACATGCGAAGTTTGTGCTGGCACTGGTGCAAAAGCAGGATCTAAGATGAGAATATGCTCCACTTGTGGTGGGCGGGGTCAAGTTATGAGAACTGAGCAAACACCATTCGGCTTGTTTTCACAGGTCCTTGCACTTGATTTTTCTTCTTCTTTCCTTTCTTTCTGCTGTCGTTGAATTCCAGTGTGATGTTGAAATTTCATCTGTTTGGAGTATTAGAATTCATGTTAATATAAATTTCACTCGTAATAGTCTATTTCTGAGTTCATAGAAAATGCAGAAGTGAAAATTGGTGCAGAATTTGGTTTAAATGGTTTTCATTGATGTGAAAGTTATTATTATATTATCTCTTTGCTGGCAACACCACCTTACGTCCCATAAAACTGAGCTTACTAACACGTTTCTCTTTCATCAAAGGTTTCTGTATGTCCAAACTGTGGTGGAGATGGTGAGGTAATTTCGGAAAATTGCCGGAAATGCTCCGGAGAAGGACGTTTGCGTATTAAAAAAAGCATCAAGGTCAAAATTCCTCCAGGTGTTAGCGCAGGTAGCATCCTTAGAGTTGCCGGGGAAGGTGATTCTGGTCCCAGAGGGTATGTACCGCTTGTTGATTACCAGTTAGAAAATCATTCTTTCTGTAATGATAATCTTTCATGGTTCTGATTCTGGTAACTGTTTTTTTTGCTTCCATTAGTGGACCTCCAGGAGATTTGTATGTATATCTTGATGTTGAAGATGTCCGTGGAATTCAAAGGGATGGCATAAACCTTTTATCTACCCTTTCCATCAGTTATCTTGATGCTATACTGGGTGCGGTTGTTAAGGTAATATAGTTATTTGTAAGAGACATCCAATAAGTACTCCTTGCAAACGTGTTGATATCCTCAGAATTGATTTTTCATCTCATGACTTAACCCAAGATCTCTTTCTAGGTGAAAACAGTAGAAGGAGTAACTGAATTGCAGATACCTCCGGGTACTCAACCTGGTGATGTGCTGGTCCTGGCAAAGAAAGGAGCACCAAAACTGAATAGACCGTCTATCCGCGGTGACCACTTGTTTACAGTCAGAGTTACTATACCAAATCAAATAAGGTTTTACCTTCTAAACTTGTCTTAATGCTAGTTCAACTAATCCAGGCAAAGGCTTATGAGTCTGTTGATATCTTGTCTTTTGTAATTCGTATATTTGGATCCTACGAACAGTGCTGGAGAGCGGGAGTTGCTGGAGGAACTTGCTTATCTGAGTGATACGTCTAGCAACCGGCTACGAACTCGTACTAAGCCTCAGCAATCCACTAGTAAGCCGTCAATTTCTTGAACTCAGGAAAATCTGCAACACGTAGGACTCTTTGTTTTTAAGTTAGTATTGATGGGTACTCTTGTAATCTTGTATGCATCTAGCATCGATGTGAGACTATTTGATATACGCACACGTTGATGGATCAACTCATCTGTATGCCGCTTTTTTTTTTTTTTTTTTTTTTTT